ACGCTTGACAATCTCAAGCTCTTTGACCTTCAAACATCCTAGATGAACGGATCCTTCACAACTCGGTAAACGAAGTACCATCAGGAATTCGATGAACCTTCTAAAGCAGGTTACAACTCTGACTAATTTCAACCACTCGGAATAATAAGAGAGAATAGGTGACATGTTGTACTTTATACTACTCAAGTTAACCACAGCAGTTTTTCTAAACTCACTATCGTCAGAGAATATTTGTGCGGTCTTATTGAAGGCAAAGTTCGCACGAAACGGCGATGATGTGGCACCAAATGCATGAGTTGTCATTTGAAACTCAGATGGTTCCTTCGACATGTCCCCCTCCTGCCACCACAGAAATCTTGAAGCTCCTCGACCAGACTTAGGGAACTTCACTTGCATGAACATTTCTTCAACATCTGCAGGGATTGCAACTGTCTCCTTGCAAAAACTTAATAATATGCACATTAACTCAGCAGTGGTATCGTGTTCTTGATAAATCATATCATTCATGGAAACCCCTGCAAACTCGGCGGCACAATCAAGGACCACTCTAAGTTCTTCTGGTTTCTTCATGTTTAACACTGCATGATAAGGTAAATACCCTCGAGGGCGATAATTAGGCTGCAAATATATTTCAAGGACCCTCTCCGCATAAGTCTTAGTAAATTTACTCTCAATACTGTTGATATACCTGATGTGCAGACTGGCATCCTTCAACAACATACCCTTCAAACTTTGTAATCTACGGTTTGCTACTTCATAATTATCCACTTTCATATTTGGATTCTTTTTCCATGGTATAGAAACTACAAAATGACCGTTGTCGAAGCGCGTGCCCCGTTCCACAATCTTTATAACCGCCTTGTCGTCTACTGATAATGATTTATCACTTGAATAAGCATCTGAAAACTCTACATCATAAAGCTCACGTATTTCGTTCTCTAATGTCTGTACCTTACTGGTATGGTTAACAACACTTCTCCTATATTCCGGGCATGACGCAGGTCCGAAAACCGTCCACCCCAGCAACGTTTTCACAGCGTACGGGTTCTTCCTTCCACCCAACCGTTGGTCTAACACCCAATGTGCTTCTGGTACGTCGCAACCAATCAACAGTAAAACTTCTTCAGAGTCTAGGCTATCTATTGGCACATCACTTAAATGCGGCCACTTAACTAGGTTGTTCATTGCTGACTTTGTTGGCTTATGACCTGGTATACTTGCTACAATCAGAGCTCCTTCAATCGTAACATCTTCAGATCGATCTAAAGAATATACCTCAAAAGGCGCACTCGTGACCTTCATTGTTCTATTACCGCCCACAGTCTCAACTACCACTGATGCTTGGTCTTCGCTCAGCCCGAGAGACCTCAAACAGTTTGACTTTATCAGTGTCACATCAGAACCGTTGTCCAACAGAGCATAACCCACAATCTCGGCTTTTCGCGATTTCAACCGTACGGGAATCATGCCTAAACACACTTGACTGATTAGTGATTTAGTATATCCGCAACAACTCAAGATACCAGGTTTCTCACTCTCGCTGTGCAACAAAGAATGGTGTTTCTTTTCACAACCCTCAACGTTACAGCGCTTTGTCAGCTTACATTCCTTAACTCTATAACCCTGTCTAAGACAGACGAAACAGATACCCTTGCTTTTAGCGTGAGACCATCAGTCTTGAACTGTAAGCGCTAAGAACTGTGGACATTTATCAATGGCATGGTCGTAGGAACACATACTGCATTTAGTTTTCATTATCGAACTATTCCCTTGCTCTGATTGCACATGACAGTTCGTCTTTACGTTATGTCCTTTTCTAGAACGGTTTGCTAACCGTCCAAATCTACTACAAGCCACTCTCGCACGCAATGCGATAAACTGAGTGAGCTCGTCGAAGGTCGGTTCCCTGTTATCTTCAGTCAATTTATCCACCCAGTCCGCCCACTGGGCTTGCATAGGTTGAGGCAAGAGTCTCACTATTCTTTCCAAGGTAACTAAGGAATTTAGATTAGAAGTATAATTCATCTGTTCCAAGACCATGGCACAGTTTTCCACTTTTATAGCCAAATTTGATAGTTGGTCCCCGTCAATATACTCAAAATTCACAGCACTGAATAAGTCCTCTAGTGTTTCTCGAGCAATTACGTGAGACTGTCCGAAAAAACGTTTTAAAATCTCCCTTGCTCTTTTATAGCCAGAGGATGCCTCCATCATGACGCAACCTTCAATAGCTGTTTTAGCCTTGCCCTTACAGTAGTGTATCAAATAGAGTAAGCGCTGGCTATCATCCGTGACTCTTGACGCTACATACGTCTCAAATTGCCTTATAAATTTCCAATAACCTCTTGGCTCTCCATCGAAATAACTCAGTTCAACCTTAGGTAGCTCTAGGCCAACAACATGGACTATAGGCGACATGCTCTTTCCTAGTAACTCAGGCCTTTGCTCCTCCTTTAAAGTAAGATTTTTTACATCATCTGACATCGAATTAAGGCTAGAATCACTGCCATGATAATTAACCCTATTTAAGTCTGAACCATGACCCTTAAGGACGTCAAAAGGCACTTGCTTGACAATAAGGGATTCTTCGTTAACATCGAGGAACTTTGAGCCTGATCTCCTTCGACGATTAACTGGCATTATAAGCGACACGACCAATTATTTCCAGAAAATCCGTGAACGATTACCAAAGGATTTCGGCCAAGTAATACTTGTTTAGAACTGTAGGATCCAAACTACGGTTTGGATGTTGAAGAATAGCCTACCGGGGACTTTAGACACGCGCCCTTTCCCGTCAAAATCAGAACAAGTAATCGGGTAACTAGCGGTTCTATAATTCATAATAAATTTAATGTAAATCATTACCTAAACAAATATTATCACCCGGCTATTCAACCAATGATTGTTCAATCAATTAAATCTAAATTACAATAAATAAAGAAGTTGATAGAAGATGAGGAAAAATTACCAATCACAACCAATGAACGTTATTCTATCCTGACTGGATAGATCACACACAACAGGAGGAACAAATCAATATGGCTACCGCCAAGAACAAGTGTCAAGTAAAACAACGCAGATGCAGTTCAGGAAGAAACACAAACTTAGTGAATGCGTAATGAAAACAAAAACTATAACAAAAATACAAATATTAACAATTCAAATGTAATCAAAATACAACAATGTACAACTAATGTGATCAATAGGGATAAAGTACAAGTATATACATGGAGGGATTTTCACCAACACATAAAACCTTCCAAATGGATCTTACATCAACTACTGACGATAACTGGTAAACACATCCAACACAACCATCTCTCAAAACCATTATATTTAGAGGTTTAAAAGAGAATTAATAAGGCGATTACACCAACTTATTTGACCCCCCGGTACCACTGTATTTTAACACAGCAACTACCCAAGCCTTGAAAACGAAACAACGTCCAAACGCAAACAAAATCTAACGTGTTGCAGAAAGCGATTGATAACTCCGCATGACCAAACAAAACATCAGTGATCAGCATTTTATCTACGCTTCTCACCAACGTTAGACTTTAATAAGTGGTTCAACCCGGTTTCCAGACAACACTGAGTGAAAAGTATAGGACTGACGAGCACAGGAATGCTATATAAAGTGGGCATTTCCAGACCCAGACCATATTTGCGGTACAGGTTAATAACGTTCCTCCGACAAAACTACCTTTCTTCAAACTTGGGCTGAGATTCAGAAAAATAGGCATTGTTTAAGGAAACAAAAGGCTAGATTTGAACACTATCTAAGCCATATTAAGTTCTCAATAGGCAAGCTGCTTCCAGAAATAGTGGCAGTGTTTAGCATTCATAAGCTTTATAGAACAAAACAAGAGAGAGATTCTGAAAATACTCAGGAGAGCCACTTCTTAAAAGTTACTTTCTCTTTTGCTGAAGAACGAAACTTTAGGACCATGGCTCACTGCCGTGAGATTGCAGCCAAAGGGTGTAAAACCTCTTGGACTTTAAGACAGACATTTAGTGAAATCTGAAATTGAAAACTAAGGCTGAAAAACCCTCTTTAAAAGGCGATTCGGTTATCCTGGAAGCAGTACTCGTGGAGATCCAGAATTCCGGGGTTTACTGTATAAAGAGTGTCTAAACCACTTAACTATGTATTACCGTAGATCTGATTTCGATGTATGAAATACTATGAAATGATATTGGACCTGAGATCACCTCTATTTTTCTTCCTAGCATATTAAAACAACTCAGAGGACATATAAGACAAGCAGAACGACCAGGAATGAACAAAATACCAGTTGCATTCAAGTTTTCACAGAAAGTCGTCAGTTCTTGGAATTTGTTACACGAAGCTGTGATCGTACCTTCAGTTGACTCATTTAAGAGGAGACCAGACACTCTCAGAAGCTTACTAGAAAACGAATAACATAAGCTGAGTACCTTCCGTTCCTACTACACAAATGTGAAATTATACGGGATTTTTTGTTTGAATTCATCAACAAGAGTTACGCTATGTAGTTCAGCAGATTTTCGAAAATCCTGATTGTAAGATGATTGGTGCGTCCCATCTTCTGTCATATTTTAAGAAGACTCTTAGCTTGAGTTCTGGAAGTACGTTAGTCGTTTGTTTTTTCACCTGCACCAAGGTGCGGTTAGGTGTCTACATCACGCGCGAATCAGAGTAGCGAATCCAGTTGTTGATTTGGATGGGGACGAAATGACTCATATAATCTGGGATAAAATCAAATCCACTGTAACTAAAAATGATATTTATCGTATACATAGTAGCTTATATTTCCGTTCGTGGACGTTGAGTGTAAATATTACGACTTGGGACTTCCCAATCGTGACCGAACTAATGATCAAGTAACGATTGAGGCAGCACATGCTATTAAACAATATAATGTGGGGATCAAGTGTGCGACCATAACTCCTGATGAAGAACGTGTAAAGGGTTTGTTATTTTGGATCGTCGGTAATTTTCAGAGTTTAACTTAAAAAAGATGTGGCTGTCTCCAAATGGGACTATTCGTAATATCCTTGGTGGTACTGTTTTCCGCGAACCTATTTTATGTGCAAACGTTCCTCGACTTGTTCCTGGATGGACAAAACCGATTGTGATTGGCCGTCATGCTCATGGAGATCAAGTAACTTAACTTGTTTAAATGCAAATAAACGATATAATTCTTAGCCGAAAGTCAAATATTATAGGATACTGCGTTTATTAAGATCAGAAGTATATGAGGGTGGAACACTTAGGCCTAGGTTTACGATTGACTTTGCTTTGCCCTAACCGCGTTTGTCTCACCCTGTATTCATGTATTCACTTCTCGTCTTCCTTGTGATCTTGATTTTTAAGTTTATCTTATTATTTTTGTTTCGAATCACTATGACTGTCATTATTTAAACCAATGGAAATTTGTCTCTTGCAGTAGTAACGTTTTCGCCTAACATTGTTCATAATAGAACCAATGTTTCATTGCTCAGTTTCATGTGCACCATATATGACTAACACTCCCATTGTTTTCATACATTTTCAACTCATTATTGTTACTGTAAACCCAAGGTATCCGAGTAACAAACTTAAGAGTTTCCGTTTATTCCTGTGACACCATATGTTAGTGTTCTCAGTCGTCCGTGGGTAGGTTCTTCAGACGATGAAAATCAATTTCTATTACAATTAAAAGGGTTATTATTCAAAAATGAACTTCCCTTCGTTAGCTGACATCGGTACTTGCAGTTTCATTGCCTTATCATAGTTTCTGTTCATGATTTACGTAATCTTATCCTGCATAAGGCATCCTGTCTTTGATGACACAGTGTCGGTTGTTATTTTGTCAAACATATTTTCATAACTTTGCACAGAATGTGAAACCGCCTACAGTTCCAGATAAGAATTGTTAGTTTTTAAATATTACTTCATAACTTCATTTACTGTTGTTAGGGCACACAATGTCAATTCAAATGTATTGTTGAGACGACTAAACCTGTCTGTTCACTGTCCCAACTTGTAACAATACTAGTGAACTAGATAGGTTTGGAAAGTTTCAGTTTGAGTTTGAAAAGAAAAGGAGGCTGGGTGGCCTGTGTTAGTCATGACAATAGTGATCTTCCAGTTGACCTAACCATCAAATGGATTAACGGATGGAGGTTCAGTCACGTTTTGAAGTAATGAATTCCATTCGTTGATGATGCGATTGGAAAGCCGATAGTTAGCTGACAAGTTAAGGCTCTTTACTCGAACGCTACTAGTTGAGCCAGAGCTTATGGCGAACTGTTACCTGAATTTGCAACCTCCAGTGGTACCCGTCAAGGTTGTCCAATATCTCCATTTTTGTCCAATCTCATCATAGACATAATGATGGAAATAACGTTCTCGTCGACTGAATTCTCGGATATTGGTCTCCTTCCAAGAGGTCCACTTATCGAATTAGAATACGCAGATGACATAGTTCTGTTTGGTCAAATTATTTATTTATCTGAACACTAATATTGGTACAAAGGAGCACCGAATACATATGCGTCACCTAAGTCACTTGATTTGTGTGTGGACTGTTATACTGCCCGGGTGCTCAAACCGAAGCAGGTTCTGTTCTACTGTACGGCTGCGAAACGTGGCCATTAAGAGTAGAAAATACTCGTAAGTTACTACTACTTGATCACAGATGTCTTAGAAATATTGCTTATATCTTCTGGGATCACGGGGTAAGTAATAGTGAGGTCAGACGTGTTAGCTCCGTTCTTCAAAGGGCCTTACCGCCGGAGACGGAAATCCGTGAGGTAAGGTGAGGTGTGACATTTTTAGGGTCGACCTTTTCTAACCCCACCCCTCCTTGTGGGAAGGCAGCATCGCTGTCATGCTGGTTGTCCGAGGGAAACACCTTACTGCTGTCACACCTCTGTACAGTCAGCAGTACGACTTCACCTTCGGACCTTGGGTTTGTTGCTTTTAGTCTTACCGCTCATCAACCGACCTGTCTGACATGGTAGGACCTTGAGGAACAGTTGTTCCAGCCAGTATAGCTCGGTTGCTTCATCACGATAGGCAAGCCCGACCACCGCGTCAAGGTAGCAGCTTCGATCGGGGAGGTCAGACACAGGGTATTAGGAAATGATGGTAAATCAGTTGATGAAGTTGTGAATTTTTATCGACTGAGATGGTTGAAACACGTGTTACGTATACTTGAACACCGATTACCACTAACCGCAATGCTGACTAGTGTTGAGGATGGTTGGAAGAAAGTTAGGGGCTGTCAAACCAAAACGTGGCATCAGTGCTTGAAGTCACTAACTCCTAGTCTTAGCCATGTTGGTAGATGCAGACTACTTGGTTGGGGTCCGCGTGACAATCGTAACCAATAGTTGGAGACTGTGGGTGTCATGGCTCAGAATCGATCACAATGGCGTAATTGTGTACATTCTCTGTCCTCTCTTAAACTTTCTTTCTGCGTACTAATTCTTTCTTCCTGTACCATGCCTTTATACGCAATCTTTCTCTTATATATTACCACCACTGAATTAACTACTTCTATGAATCCGGTGTTCATCTTGTTGTGCTAATGAGGTATGGTAACTTCGACCGATACACATATGTGCCTGGTCCTACGTTGTAGCTAACTGACAGCTGACAAGTAATTTGTTCTGGGATTGTGGACCATTTTATGATGTCCGTAAATTCTCTGTTTTGCAAGAGGAGAATACAGGACATATCGGATGTTAATTTATCATTAAGTAATTAAAAAACTGCAATCAAGTCACATCTGGCCCTTCAATGTGACAAAGGAAGTAGGTTTGGTTTAGCCAGTTCGCCGTTATACCAGAGCTTTAACATTCCGGGAATTAACTTAGTTGCGGTTCTTTGAACGAACACTGTATACAAAGTCAAAAAGATTTTAGCATCGACATAGCTGATGGCTTTACGTATAGGCCATGGAGTTTTGATACTTTTTTTGGCTATCACACGGTAGTGTGTAGTAGTTTTCAAGTCTTGGCTAACGATGAGTTTCAGGTCATTGTGTTTGAACAACGGGCATCTCTGTGTTATTTACCGTGTATGTATCTGTACCTTGGTGACCAATATTCATCACAATGAACTTGAAAGCATTCATCTTACTTACTTACTTATTTACACCTGTTACTCCCAATGGATCATAGGCCGCTGACCAGCATTCTCCAACCCACTCTGTCCTACTCTTCCTTCTTTTCTAGTTCCATCCAATTCTTGTTCATTCTTCTCATGTCTATCTCCATTTCCCGGCGTAATGTGTTCTTTGGTCTTCCTCTTTTCCTTTGGCCTTGAGGATTCCATGTGAGGGCTTGTCTTGTGACGCAGTTGGGTGCTTTCCTCAATGTGTGTCCTATCCACTTCCAGCGCTTCTTCCTGATTTCTTCCTCCGCTGGGATCTGGTTTGTCCTCTCCCACAGTACGTTGTTGCTAATAGTGTCCGGCCAATGGATCTGAAGTATTTTGCGTAGACAATTGTTAATGAACACCTGTATTTTCTGGATGATGGCTTTCGTAGTTCTCCAGGTTTCTGCCCCATACAGTAGAACTGTCTTGACATTTGTATTGAAAATCCTGACCTTGGTGTTGGTTGACAGTTGCTTTGAGTTCCAGATGTTCTTCAGTTGTAAATATGCTGCTCTTGCTTTGCCAATCCGCGCCTTCACATCTGCATCAGATCCACCCTGTTCATCAATGATGCTGCCCAAATACGTAAAGGCTTTTACATCTTCCAAATCTTCTCCGTCAATTGTGATTGGGTTGGTGCATTCTGTATTGTATCGGAGAATCCTGCTTTTCCCTTTGTGTATATTGAGACCTATTGCTGCTGAGGCTGCTGCCACACTGTTCGTCTTCTCCTGCATCTGTTGTTGCGTTTGGGATAGAAAAGCCAGATCGCCTGCGAACTCTAGATCATCCAACTGCATCCTAGATGTCCATTGTATCCCGCGCTTCCCTTCAGACGTTGACGTCTTCATGATCCAGTTGATCACCAGGAGAAAGAGAAAGGGTGAGAGTATACAACCTTGCCTAACACCGGTCTTCACTTCGAACGACTTTGTCGACTGTCCTCCATGCACAATTTTGCAGTGTAATCCATCATATGAGTTCTGTATGATATTGACTATCTTCTGAGGCACGCCGTAGTGTCGAAGAAGATCCCATAGTGTTGTTCTGTCCACGCTATCAAATGCCTTTTCGTAGTCAATGAAGTTGATGTAGAGTGATGAATTCCATTCAATTGATTGTTCCACAATGATCCGTAGAGTTGCGATTTGGTCCGTACACGATCTATCCTTACGGAATCCTGCCTGTTGGTCACGAAGTTGGGTGTCTACGCAGTCCTTCATCCTGTTTAACAATACCCTGTTGAAAACGTTTCCCGGTATTGAGAGAAGAGTGATGCCCCTGTAGTTATCACAGTTGCTGAGATCGCCTTTCTTCGGTATTTTGACCAGAAGTCCTTCTTTCCAGTCTTTTGGTACTTGTTCCTCATCCCAAATCTTATTGAAGAGAATGTGGAGTATCCTTACAGTTGCCGCTACGTCTGCTTTTAGTGCCTCTGCTGGAATGTTGTCTGGTCCTGCTGCTTTGCCACTCTTGATTTGTCTGATGGCCATGCTGATTTCTTCAATTGTTGGTGGGCCAACATTGATTGGGAGGTCCCTGGGTGCTGCTTCGAGAAAGCATTCATCTGCAACTGCCAAATTCTAGACTATTCATATATCTTATCTAGGTCGTTTTGAAGCTCTAAACTATCACTTTTACTTTTTATCGCTCTCCATATCTTGATATCATCAGCATACAACAAAACCGCTGGTGGTAAGAGACTAGAAAGTTCATATACAAACAGGAGGAACAACATTTGCCCCAAAACTGTGCTTTGAAATACCCCGCTAAGCACAGTTTCCCAGCTAGACAGCTCGTAGTTAACCCGTACACTTAAATAAATCGCCTCCAATCTCGATATTGCTTAACTTAGATGACAGCTGGTTGTGAGGAATTTTGTTGAAAGCCTTACTAAATTCAATGTAGGCTACATCTGTCGATAAATTTTGATCTTTAAGAGTGCACCAACTCTCATGGGCTACTAATAAGATTCTGAGACATGAATAACTTGTTTTAAAGCCATTCTGCTTTTCAAAACGAATCCAGTTTTCGTCGAAATACTTCCGAATAATGTTTTTTCAAATTTAGCAACTACGCTGGTTAGGCTTACGGGTCGATAGTCCCCAGGCTTGTGTTTTGTACCCATTTTGAAGACAGGATTTACTATGGGTCAATATGAGATCTAGAATAGATTATTCCGAGTCCGGTTCCTGCCTAGTTGCTTCTTTCACGCGTTGCACTAGGACATGTGTAATAACCGCATCAACTAGTTTCTATTCGAGAGAATTTTCTGACGACTCATTCAAATTTTTCCAGTTTACCATATGTGCATAAAGATTAAGCATCGACCCCTTGATGGCCAAGTATTGAATCCTCCTAGCAGGACTTCATTCACCTTGGTCTGGACTGCGGTAAACCAAACCAATCAACAGCTGTTGTTGTTTGCATTTTAAGATTCAAACTAACCAATTCTCATGTTTTACTCATGGGATATGTTGTCAATAACGATAAAGAGAATAGTATTTCTAATGAATAAAGCTGCTTCTCCACACTTACGGGTTTTGTCTGCTCTTACTAATGTGAAATTTTCGAATTGCGTTCTTCATTGTCTATAGAGAGTCAGTCAAGTTTCTGTGATGGCGAATACATCCAGCTTGGTAGTCTATCTATACACTTAGCTCCGACCGCTTGTTGAGTAGGCTTTGAGCATTTGTGTGACATATACGGAGACAATTTAAATGGATTTGTTCTGCACCAAAGTGGCTTTGGCATCATTTTCTGTCGAAGCCTAACCACCCAAAAAATCACAATTTTAAGGTCCTTCTCGACAGGATCTAACCTTAGTTTTAGTTCTCTTTTTAGCTACTGATCTTTATATGTAGTCCGCGAGCGACGAGTCTATGTAAAAAGACTCACCATCCCTTTAGTTTATATCCATTCTGTAGTATTCAGTCCCTTTCATTGGGAGATTTAAATACTACATTTAGCAGTCTGATTCGATTTTCTTTCAAGTCCGTCTGGCTACCTAGTCTATAAAACTTCAGCAAGGTGGGTCATTAGCTGGTTACGTAGACCTTTTATCAGTCTAGTGTCATGCTCAAAACATGTTCTGGGCTCAGAGCTCTCATCTTCCTTGACTGTATGAAAGATGGCTTACCTGTCACTATTGACAGTTTTTGATTTCTCAACTACTCTTGGGAAGACTGGCTTTTGTCTAATGATATTCAGTCGTGTCTTGTTCTTGATTTCTACCCATTAATCAGTTTTCACTGGAGTGGCAATCACATTTGCGTTACATACTGTAATATCCTGGATGATTGTCGATGTCCTAGGTGGTCAGTTTGTTTTTATTACTAGAAAGAGACCTAGCGTTTCGACTAGTTTTTCAAGGCGTTCGCTGACTGCCGCTACTTGGAGGGCGGGGCACATAATGAACCTCCTTTCTTGAATTTTCGTCCCCAACAGACCACTTTGAATTCAGTTCTTCCTGCGCTGGGCCATGTAGTTCAATCAACTCTGAACCTGTTTGGGACGAGTGCACACCGATTGTGTATCGACAGATAGAACATCATTACATCAATTTCGGTTGCGCTTGCTAATATGCCGTTAAGCAGCGTTCACCATTGCAAGTTGTTTGCATCCGAGCAGCATCCATTTTTACCAAATCGTTTGAAAGCAGCAGGCGTTAGATTCGTGCAAACTTTGTGGTACTATTATTTGCCCTCATTGAGCTGCACGCTACTCTCCACAGGGTATCCACAGCCTGGGTGTTGACGGTTGCTTCTTCTGCATTTCCGAGTCATCAGTCAGAGGTTTTCAAATGACTTCGATACCACAGTGTGTATAGGAGAAACTTATGGAACCTTCTTGCACACTATTTTATGAGTAGCTGAGAAAATCGTCAACATCATACGGAATTCATACGATGGATTACACTACAAGTTGTGAATGGAGGACAACTGACAGATGCATTCCAGGTAAGGACCGGCGTAAGACAAGGCTGCTTACTCTCTCTCTTTCTCTTTCTTCTGGTAGTTGACTGGATTATGAAGACCTTGACAGCTGAGGGAAAACACGGGATACAATGGACAGCTCAGAATCAATTAGACGATTTGGACTTCACAGATGACCTAGCCCTCATGTCGCATACACACGAACAAATGCAGATAAAGACAACTCGTGTAGCAACAGTCTCTGCATCAGTAGGCCTCAATATACACAAGGGGAAAACCAAAGTCCTGAAATACAACACGGAGAAAAGCAATCCAATCACACTTAGTGGCGAGACTCTGGAATATGTAGAATCCTTCACATACCTGGGAAGCATCCTCGATAAACGAGAAGGATATGGGTGCAGACGTAAAGGGAAGGATTGGTAAAGCAAGGGCCGCATTCCTACAATTGAAGAACATATGGAACTCAAAACAACTTTCAACCGATACCAAAATCGGAATCTTCAATACGAACGTCAAGACAGTTCTACTGTATGGAACTGAAACTTAGAGAACTTCCACAACCATAATCAAAACGTACAAGTATTTCCAGACAACTGTCTATACAAGATGCTCAGTGTCCATTGGCCGGATACTATCAGCCACAGCTTACTGTAGGAGAAAACTAAGCAGCTTCCATCTGAAGAGGAAATTAGAAATTAGACTTTGGAAAGGAATAAGATATATATTGCGGAAATCATCAATTTGCATCACGAAGCAAGCGCTAACTTTGAATCGTGATGGGAAACGAAAAAATGACAGACCAAAGAACACAATACGTCGAGTATTGGGAACAGACATCAAAAGGATGAATAGCAATTGGAACGGTGAGTCAAGGATTGGATTGGATAGACGAATGCTAATGGGCAGCCTATGCTCCTCCACGAGGAGTAAGTACGTAATTAGTAAAAATGTCACTAAGTTGATAAAAAAAATTCGAAATAAGGAAGTTTACAATTGACTAGTCACTTAGTAGTGACTAGTGTTCTATTTTTCGAATCCTTAGCGTCGATCGAATGTTACTGGTCAAGTTGCAATATGGGCACTAGTCTAGGTAACTGGACATCACATTCATTATGCTGCGAAGTAAGGTGGTTTGCCGACTAACTCCATAAAGATTAGAAAATCAGATGGTTTGTGTTTTCTGCGTATTCACCATTGTTATGATTGTGATACTCGAATATCGTGTGTAGTACAGATTTTTCAGTGTTATTGTAGTGAACAAGAACACCAGTGGGGACAATCGAATGTATTTAACACAAAATTACAGGACTTGTTAATAAAATCTAACAATCAAATAGTAAATACATAATTTGCAAAATGTCCATCAATTGTCTCATAATGACTCAGACTTCATTGTTCTTTCATTTTCATACAACTTGCATTCTGTTTCCATTCTTTACTGTTCGATCCTCTTGTCTATATGCTGCCAGACATTCTGTTCACAACTAATATCATCTACTACTTATGTCAATATAAGTAGTACACACATTATGGCCGGGTTACATAAATATATGTATGCGCTTGTGATCTGAGTAACCATGTGCCACTGACTAAAATTCTTCCTTAACTCTAGCTTTTATTGATTCATAATTCCCTCACTAGGTTATCTTTTTTAAACTCTTATTTGTTTCTTTCCTTTGCAATATCACACTGTTCTATTTCAAAAATCTCAGTGCCTATGATATGCGCTTCATAGTGGGGAATAGTGTTTTTACTATGCATTATTTCTTCACTTGATACCTGTCCACAAAATTTCGTCACATTCATAAAGATGTCTTGCTTTTGTTTACTTTCTCCAAATTTGGCACAAGTGAGATTTATACGAAAGAGCAATTACACTGCTTACCCATGCATTGTTTTATAGTTGATGCATCGTATTGTAGATCATGAGAATTCATACGGATATATACTGTTTGCCCTACATTTATTTCCTCATTTATCTATCTTATTCTCTCACTTATGTAGTGGTTACTAATTAACCTCATTTTTTTCACGCTTTCCATTGTCTTAATTATTTTCCTATATGAGTATTATATAATTGATGATCCGTATATTTCAATTTGATTTTACAAGTACAAAGCTACAGATATGGTCATTAAAGAACAAGGTGTTTTGGAACTTGTATTTACACCCAAATCGTCTGGACTTGAAAAACGTGTGAAAGTTTTCGACTTCAACGGAGGTGGAATAGGCCTTAGTATGTATAATACAGATGAAGTATGTAAATAGCGGTTTTCGCTTTATGGTTTGATTAATGTTTGTCATTTACCTCTATATTATGTTTTAAAAAAAATTAGATTTTCTGACGTTTTGTAAATCAGTGTAAACCACTTCTTCAGAGAATAAATAACCTAATCAAAATTAATCCAAGTTTAAATACTACAAAGGAACAACACAAGAATATTAGGTGGGATCAGTCAAAAAGCACTTCTGAACGAGTTCATTCCACAAATGACGAAAGTCGGTAGAAGCCAATCGTGCCGAAATTTTGTCAGACACCTGTCTATCAGGACTGATGCGACTCTCATGTTAAGAGGGCAATACACTGAACTACTTCACTAACTATTATTAGTTTAAGCGCTGACACATGCCTAGTAGACGGTTAAAAGTTTATTTGAGAGCGAAGAGTGGATTAATAATTACGGTATATTGAAAAGTGATAACCAATTCACGAAATGTATTCACATCAGATTTTTACAATCAGTACTGAAAGACATAGAAATTAAATTGAAGAGAAGAGAAGAGAAGCATTAATGAAATGTATTTACAAATTATGCTTATCTTATTTCCATATTTCCATCCAACCTTGAAATTAAGAGACATGTTGTGTGTTATACTTTTGGAAGCTCTGTTGAATTGGTTGATTCAAAATACGTTTTGTTTGCCAAACCACTTTATAGCAATCCATAGTCATTTGTTTTTTTTTGGATAAAGTGAAAGTTACCACAGCTGAAAGTTTTAAAATGTGCTCTCTAAGCTTCGATATCCAACTCTATTCTTCACGTGTGAGCACATCTGTCAATATAGTGTAGTGAATAGTAACAAAGTATTTAGTATAATCATGATATTCAACTTCAAATCCTTCTCTTTTTATCACCCACAAGATCCATCCAAAAATTCTTAGAGGTCTAGGCTCAAACCTGCTTCACAATTCAGAAGCTTTAATTACCTATAGTTTAAGGCATATGTTGTATACAGAATATTTAATGATGTATCTCTATTTATCTAATTTTATTATACTTAATCTTTACATAGTGTTCATATATTTATTTTTATTTCATTGCAAAAAAATGTTTCCACTCATAATGTTAAATTATTATTCTCATTATGACTGATTTCAACCTCGCCCCACAATGGTAGTATTTCTCGACCTTAAGGCGGCATTCGACTCTATTGATCGTGAGGTTCTATGGCAGTGTTTGTCACTGAAAGGAGTACCAAAGAAGTACATTAACCTTGTAAAGGCTCTCTACTCGAACACAACTGGTAGAGTGAGAGCTTATGGCGAACTGTCATCAGAATTGATTACCTCAAGTGGTGTTCGTCAGGGCTGTCCACTCTCCCCATTCTTGTTCAACTTTGTGGTCGACGTACTTTTAGAGATAACACTTTCCTCGTCTAGATTTCCAGGGTTGAACTTCTACCGGGAGGTTCACTTGTTGACTTAGAATATGCTGATGACATAGTTTTATTTGGTGAAGACGCTGACAAAATGCAGAGTCTTCTGACCACTCTAAGCAACAATGCAAGCATGTTCGGGATGCGATTCTCTCCCTCGAAATGCAAAATTTTGCTTCAGGATTGGATTACATCGACACCCGAACTAGTGATAAGGAGTGAAGTAGTTGAGTGTGTCGACCGCTTCACTTATCTTGGAAGTCTCACCAGCCCTTGTGGTCTGGTGTGTGACGAAATCTCAGCACGGATACAGAAGGCTCGACTAGCTTTTGCCAACTTGCGTCATTTATGGCGTAGGCGAGATGTCCGTCTATCAACCAAAGGACGTGTTTACTGCGGAGCAGTTCGTCCCGTCCTACTTTATGGCAGTGAAACATGGCCGGTAAGAGTAGAGGATATTCGTAGGTTACTAGTATTTGATCATAGGTGTCTTCGAAACTTTGCTCGTATATCCTGGGACCATCGAGTAAGTAATGCAGTTGTTAGGAAACGGGTACTAGGTAAGGATGGCAAATCAATTGATGAAGTAGTGAAACTTCATCAGTTGAGATGGCTGGGACACGTGTTACGTATGCCCAACGACCGACTGCCTCGACGTGCGATGTTCAGTGGTATAGGAGTAGGTTGTGACTGATTTCAACCTGTCAAACTCATTGTACTTTTAGTTTCTCTTTTTATATTAATTATTAAATAGTTCCTACATTTCATAGACTTTTCCATAGTTATTTGCTCATTTAGTAAATTTATGCACAGCTTATACCATAATAAGCCCGCAAGTGCCCTGATGCAACCGAGGGTAGGGAGAGTCTGCTCTTCCTCTCGAAATGCTCTCACATGGCCACGCGTATACAGCCACTGCCAGGCTAGTCCTACTCACTGACTTCTCAAGGCAGCTGTGTCGTTTACGAAATCGATAGCGAATATTCGTCGCTTTAACCGGGTTGGTGGGTATGGAAGATTGACCTAGGGGAGTTGGAAAACCGTGATTCCAAAACAGTTAGTTGTGCACATGGGCTCCAGGATCCTGAAGGAAAAAATGGCTACCATGAGACTGCATCTCCTGACGTTGATTCACTGCCCGGTGGATCAGACTTTTAGGTCCGATGCTCCGAGTGTGGTCCCCTAAGAAAACCACCTGATTCGGTTTGGGCACGCAGTCAGTATCACAACCCACACACAAATCAAGTGACTTGTGTGGCGCATACGTATTCAGTGTCCCTTTGTACTAATATTAATGTGTTCAAATAAATAATGATAGTTTATTAAACATACAAATCTCCTTTATCCTGATAATTTTTTTAATATTAAGGTTTTTTTTATTTATTTAGAGTATTTATGGTTTTGCACGTAGCTGTTTCGAATATGCATTAAATAAAAATTGGCCTTTATATTTGAGTACTAAGAACACTATCTTGAAACAATATGATGGTAGATTCAAAGATATATTTCAAGAAGTGTATAGCCAGTAAGAAACTTGATTTTTAACCCATTAATTATTAATATACTTTCTTCAACTATTTGATAAATGTATGTACAATCGTAGTGATGACTATCAAATTTTTTTTATTATTTAATTGTAACGTAGTCTATATCACGATAAAGGACAGAAAAAGGCACTATACCAAATGTAATAACGTTACTTTAGTGTATTGTGGTATATGGCTAATAGGGGAATCCAAGAGGTCTATTCCGTCCTATATAAGACTTATTTATTAAATGTACTTGCATATTAGCGTTGATGTTCACATTGAGATTTGAACCCAGCAATTTCCGCTTTTAATACACATATAACAATAGAAAGTGATTAATTCCAGTTCTAAATATTAACGACGGGAACTTCTAAACCTTTTATAATGAGAATCTTCTGTTAGAAAAACAAAAGGAGAAAGTCAGTAATGTTAGTGATAATATTAAAGGCAATATGAAACATTAAAAAGATAAATTTCAAACAAGAACTCAAGTGATTTCATTCAGCTAGGTCTTACGGTTTACCAATAATACGATATAAGACTACAGCCATATGTGGCAAAATCTACTGGGTCACACAATTTTTCGGACTCTGACCAGGAAGTTGTAGGCTGTCACTTAGCACTAATCTAGCAAACTTTTTTTTTTGTGACTTACAGAAGGCAGAAGTGTTATATATTTCTTTCAATGAGTAAATTGTCTAATGGCGAAATAGTTTTTTTTACTTTAACTCTCCATCTTATTCATTTATTCTTTCCTACCATATCCGTGGAATTATTTTATGCAGTTCATGTTTGAATATTGGGTAAGTGGTCACCAAGTTCACTGCTAACCTATTCACTTAAGGAAGAAGTATCGTTCAACGGTTTGGCAATCAGGAATTGATGACTGTCCATATGCATTTGATAGTATTTCAAAATATCTCGTTTATAGTAATACATACCCCTTTCAACAATTGGATTGTACATAAAAAACTCTTAGGTAGATGTTCAGTGCGCTATTATCATTTTCTTTATATATCTATCTTATAAGGGATTATCAAAAGAAGTTTGAAAATAATAAAATCTGGTATGAACATCGATTAATTGATGATATGGTGGCACAAACACTTAAATCAGATGGCGGTTTTGTTTGGGCTTGTAAAAATTATGATGGTGATGTTCAAAGTGATGTTATTGCTCAGGGTAATTTCAACCTTCTTAACTATGATTTTTAGAGTACAAGTAAGATAATTGATTTCTGTCTGATCTATATTGACTTACAGTTTACATGTTTTCAATCACAGACTACATGAAAATCAGTAGCTGATGTACCTTTGTCATTAAGGCCCAAACTATCCTTAAATTTGATTAGATTTGAAATTGGCAAAATATTAATGTCACAAACAGATCTGAATCAATGGATTTTTTGCGATAATTAGCCTAATGCTTTACCAAGTAATCTGAAATTTGATTGTCGAAAGGTCCAGTATTTTACTGTGATCAACAAACTAGTTCAATCGATACCTAGTCGGTCTGGTCTAGTCATTTATTATTTACATCCTGACATAACTCGGAATTTTGAAAAATCTCCATTAACCTATTATGAAATGTGGATTTCCGCTTCAAATTACTTATTTATTTATTATTATTTATTTGAACAGATTGATATTAGCACAAAGGAGCACCGAATACGTATGCGTCACACAAGTCACTTGATTTGTGTGTGGGTTGTGATACTGACAGGGTGCCCAGGCCGAATCAGGTGGTTTTCTTAGAGGGCCACACTCGGAGCCTTTGACCTAAAAGTCTGATCCACCGGGCAGTGAATCAACGTCAGGAGATGCAGTCCCATGGTAGCCGATGACCAATAATTGGTTCATACACCATTTGTTCCTTCAGGATCCTGGAGGCTATGTGCACAACTAACTGGTTTGGAATCAGTGTTTTCCAACTCCCCTAGGTCAATCTTCCATATCCACCAATGCTAGATCATGATAAGCTAATAAATACAGCGAAAATGTACTAGAAATCAAATAACCTAACTTTGTACTCAATGAATTAATACGAATGAAATGCACTGAAAGTCAATTAACAGAACAGTGAAAAGCCGTGACCAGTGGAGCTAATCCATGTCGGGTAGAGACAGGTATCCACCCCAGTACATCGGAAGATGGTCGCGCAATTTCGTGGATTGGTTGATGTTGGACACTATCACCATTGGATGCCGGCTCAGTGGTCCAGTAGGTTAAGCGTTCGCGCGCGAGACCGAAGGCCCTGGGTTCGAGTCCCGCGAGCGGGATCGTGGATGCGCACTGCTGAGGAGTCCCATACTAGGACGGAACGGCCGTCCAGTGCTTCCAGGTTTCCCATGGTGGTCTAGCTTCAATTGACTCATGATTTCAACTTGTGAAATTTCTAAAAATCTCCACAAAAACCCATTCTGATAAATCATTTTAGTTGTGTTACCTTTTTAATAATAACAAAGTGTCTGTCATTTTTATCCCGTTTCTGTTAATGAACAAGTTTGTACTCTTCTAAGTAGTCTATAGTTTAATGTGAAAGGATCTACTATTATGGTTTAAATTCTACCATCATGTAGTTGTTTTTTAATGACAACATTATCAATCTAAAGTGAGTCTCAAATTGTATATGATATTTGTTTCATATAAAATTGTATATTTTTAAGGTTATGGATCATTAGGTCTTATGACATCTGTATTAATGTGTCCTGATGGAAAAACTATTGAATCTGAAGCAGCTCATGGAACTGTTACACGTCATTATAGAGAGCATCAAAAAGGTCTTCCAACTAGTACAAATCCAATTGCTTCTATATTTGCATGGACTAGGGGTTTGGAACATAGAGGCAAATTAGATGGAAATAATCAGTTAATTGAGTAAGTTTTATTTATTTGTATAGAAAGTAACCTGACGAAAAATCTCTGTTATGTTTTTCTTAATCATTCGTAATATAGTGACTTAGTCAAACTATTGACTTGTTCATTATGTAATACTTTGATTATGAAATCATGTAGGTAAAAAATATGCTATTGTTATGTGAGATGATTTCTGGATTAATGTATGTTTTCGAACAATCTGACATGGATTAGGTTGGGAAGAATACTGTTGTATGGTTGTTCTAAAATAATACTGTAAATAAGCTGACGAACTTTGAAGCAATGAATCAATTTTATACATTAGGAATTTGGAAATTAAACCATTGTTTTGAAGGACTATAACAAGGAGTGTATAGAGTACCGATCAGTAGATGAAACGATAGAGTATAATCAAGAGATAACTTCACGATATTAAACTAGTGATACAAGGTAGAAATTAACTGTTATCGAAAACTTTGGGAACACATATGTTTTTGCTTTCTTATCAGTCAGTCATCTATACCGTAGAAGCAGGTACATATATGCGTCGATCCAAATTGTCATACCGCATTAGCACAACAAGATGAACACCAAATTCTTAGAAGTAGTCACTTCAGTGGTAGTAATATATAAAAGAAAGATTTTATGTAAGGAAGAAAGAATTAGTTTGTAGAAATAAAGGTATAAAGCAATTTCAATTTCATGGTTTAAAGGAAGACAAGCACTGTATACACTTACCACATTGTGATCGATTTTGAGCCATGTCACCCAGAGTCTCCAACCACTGGTTACTATAGTCACGCGGACCCCAACTGAGTAGTCTGCATCTATCGACATGGTTCAGACTAGAAGGTGGTGCCTTTATGGACTGGTGTCACGTTTTGGTTTGGCCACCCCTAACTTTCTTCCAACAATCTCCAACAGTAGTCAGCATAGAAGTATCTGTTCGAACGGTAATTCAAAAAATATATTTTACGTCCGTTCATTTATCGCTGACATCGGTCCTAAGTAGTGTTGCACTAAGCTCCACATTTACATTGAACAAACTCGATTGAGTCTACATTAATATTCTTTTTTGTATTGCTTACTTACTTACTTACGCCTGTTACTCCCAATGGAGCATAGGCCGCTTACCAGCATTCTCCAACCCACTCTGTCCTGGGCCTTCTTTTCTAGTTCCATCCAATTCTTGTTCATTTTTCTCATGTCTATCTCCATTTCCCGGCGTAATGTGTTCTTTGGTCTTCCTCTTTTCCTTTGGCCTTGAGGATTCCATGTGAGGGCTTGTCTTGTGACACAGTTGGGTGCTTTCCTCAATGTGTGTCCTATCCACTTCCAGCACATCTTCCTGATTTCTTCCTCCACTGACATCTGGTTTGTTCTCTCCCACAGTAGGTTGTTGCTAATAGTGTCCGGCCAATGGATCTGAAGTATTTTGCGTAGACAATTGTTAATGAACACCTGTATTTTCTGGATGATGGCTTTCGTAGTTCTCCAGGTTTCTGCCCCATACAGTAGAACTGTCTTGACATTTGTATTGAAAATCTTGACCTTGGTGTTGGTTGACAGTTGCTTTGAGTTCCAGATGTTCTTCAGTTGTAAATATGCTGCTCTTGCTTTGCCAATCCGCGCCTTCACATCTGCATCAGATCCACCCTGTTCATCAATGATGCTGCCCAAATACGTAAAGGTTTTTACATCTTCTAAATCTTCTCCGTCAATTGTGATTGGGTTGGTGCATTCTGTGTTGTATCGGAGAATCCTGCTTTTCCCTTTGTGTATATTGTATTACTTAGGTAAAAATATTCACTGTAATTAAAAAGTAGTAGTTGCACCGTAACCTTTTGGGTCCTAAATAGCAATCAAAAGTGAATTCTATCATCAAATTAATGGGCTGGCTAAAACGCGTTCAACAAATATGTACAGTAGTTTTAGTGTGAAACTTGAATTTATGAGTAGGCCATTTTGATATAATTTAAATGGTTCATATGAACTTGTTGGTCATGAATGAAATAATGCGATTAGTTGACAGTAGCTTTCTTCAGATTAAAATTAATTCTTAGTCCTCTTACAGTTATTGTTAGTGTAATTTTGATCCTCAACATTACTTAGTATTTCGAACAGAATTGATTAAATGCTCTAGATAGACAATTAGTTAGTTCATTTTTATTTTTGATTGAATTAAACAGTATTATTTGGGATAATTGTTACATTATTAATCTCTGATTATTAAAAGATTGATCGAATATTTCTACTATAGAATAGTGAGGTTAGACACAGGGTATTAGGGAATGATGGTAAATCAGTTGATGTAATTGTGAATTTTTATCGACTGAGATGGTTGAAACACGTGTTACGTATACTTGAACACTGATTACCACAACGCGTGATGCTGACTAGTGTTGGAGATGGTTGGAAGAAAGTTAGTGGCGGTCAAACCAAAACGTAGCATCAATACTTGAAGTCACTAACTTTTCTAGTCTGAGCTATGTTGTTAGATACTACTAGACTACTTGGTTGGGGTCCGCATGACTATTGTAATCAATGGTTGGAGACTCTTGGTGACATGGCTCAGAATTGATCACAATGGTGTGGGTGTATACACTCCCTGTCTTCCATCAAACTAAGAGATTAAAATCACTTCATATCTTTCTTTCTACGAACCAATTCTTTCTTCTTGTACTATATCTCTATATGCAATCTTTGTCTTATATATTACCACCTTTGACCTAACCACTGCTATGAATCCAGTGTTCATCTTGTTGTGCTGATGCGGTATGGCAACTTGGACCGATGCACATATGTGCCTGGTCCTACGTTGTAGCTGACTGACTGACTGATGGCAACTTGGATCGATGTATATATGTGCCTGATCCTACGTTGTAACTGACTGATTATAGAATTTTATTATAATCAAATATATACTGATCATGTTTTCAATTTGATTCCAAATTAAAATAATTGTATATTATTCTTTCTAAAATTGTATTTATTTATTTTCATTTGATTCACAGATTTTGTCATCATCTAGAAAAAGCTTGTATTGATACTGTAGAATCAGGTAGAATGACAAAAGATTTAGCTATTTGTATCTATGGTAGTAAAAATGTTAAATTAGAACATTATTTAACAACGATGGACTTCTTAGATGCAATTGTTGATCGATTTAAAAAACAAATCAATTTGAAATAGTTTATTGATTTACTGGGTTTGTTTCCTTCCTCCCCCCCCTCCTTTCCTACTAAGTTTTAATGACAAAAATTGATCAATGTAAACATTTCTTCTGTCATGGTGAATTTTTTTTTGATTGTTTAATACTATTGATAAGTTTGTACTTCGTTATTATTATTATTATTTTTTTGTAATTCATATCACATAAAGAATATTTTCATCATCTCAAAAGATTTTTGTTGTGATGGCCTATGGTGTCCAAAATCAGATACTGATATACGATGTGCTATGTGTTAGTCTCCAAACTGACTACTTAAACGAGAACACAAGAGTGAGAATGGAAGTGTAAAGGACTACCGAATGAAATGCACAGATACTCATTTATATATATATTTATATATACTTATCATTCTAATGTTTAGGGAACTGATCCATTAGTTAGCGAATGTAATACACTTGTTGAAATCATGAGTCAATTGAAGCTAGACCACTATGGAGAACCTGGAAGCACTGGACGGCCGTTCCGTCCTAGTATGGGAATCCTCAGCAGTGCACATCCACGATCCCGCACCCCGCGGGATTCGAATCCAGGACCTATCGGTCTCGCACCAAGCGCTTAAACAACCAGACCACTTAGCCGGCATCCAACGGTGTTAATCTCTAACTTCAACCAAGTTAAATTTCTAAAAAAATCCCCACAAAACCCATTCTGAGAATGTAATACACTTGTCCTCTAAGTTACTTCTGATTGTCATTTATTAACCTTATGATTAGCTGTCCATATCACTTTTTCTGTATTCTGTTGATCGATGAAAATCTACTTTAAGTGAATATCATTAAGCAGCTGGAACATATTGATTTTCTTGTGTGTTGTTTGAAATGTGGAACGATCTTTCAAGCTTTATTTTAACTAATTTAGTTCCTTAAACTTTTAGTTACGTGTTTTCTTTATTTCTCTATGTGTAATTTACGTACCAGAGATTTCGGTTGTTGTGAATTATGAGGAATTGGGTCAGTGTATTTTGTGCTGAAGATCTTATGTTGTTTGTAATAGCAGGTTTCACCACCACTCCACTTGCTGGTTTTTATCACTGAATATGTTTGTTTTTGTAGTTCAGTAGCTTCCGTTGTACCTTGTAAGCGATTTTTGAATGATTATTTGTAATTCAGTAAACGTAGTATTGAGAAGTTATTTGATTGTTAAACTTTTCGGAAATCTCCTCAGCTTTCTCAAAATTAGTCAGCAGAATGTTTTCAAACCGAGTATCGAACTTCGATCAGTGCGTTGAAAAAAATTATATTAGTTCATTTAGCTTGTTTCCAATATTAAAGAGGAAGAATGCATTTGTAAAATCTCAACGAATGAATTTAAAGTAAATCCAACGTTTCGCCTGGCAAACTAATCCAAACTTTTTCAAAGAATTATAATCAAAATTATCGAATATAAATAAGTTGTAGTGTCGGTTACTGTGTTAGTCTCATACAGTCTATTCTAGCTCGTGGACAGGCAAATTTATCCATTCTACTTGAGTCATATTTTGACCTTGTTAATTATTCGCTTATCAGTCTTCACTGTTTTGATATGAGCGCATATGTGTGTACACTTCTTATCCTATTTTTATCTGGTTATAAATATTGATTGATGCTTGATTAAATGGAGTTGGATTATATGCCTTCTCCACTGCGCGTCATTTCGCTCCGCTCTCTTCTATTCGTCCGTTCCGATCAATCAGTGTATAAAATATATTTATTTGGAAATCCATTCTCCTATTTCACTTATTTCCGTTATTCACCAACGCGATTTAAGTCGATTATATACGAAGATAGCCAGAATGTATATTTCGATAATCAATTATATGATCCAATTGGAGTTAGATCCTGGGTCACAAAGTACATGGTTCTCTGGTTAATTGTATTCTAAACAGGTCATTCAGTCAACGTTAACAATTCATTCACTGAGGTTTTACAAATAAATTCTTCCTCCTTAATATCTTACATCAACTCGGCGTTTAAATACTATGATATTCGATCAAATTTAGATAGTTTTTGATTTAGATCATGAACCGATTGATGTTAGACCACCATTGAAAACCTGGAAGCACTGGACGTCCGTTTCGTCCTATTTTGGGACTCTTCAGCAGTGCGCATCCACGATCATGCTCGCAGGATTCGAACCCAGGGCTTTCAGTCTCGTGCACGAACTCTTAACCTACCGGACCACTGAGCTGGCATCCAATGGTGTTAATGTCTAACCTCAACCAATCCACGAAGAATAGAAGTTCTTATATTATTGTTTCCAATACTTTTCAAATATTTAAATAATCGATACAAAGGTGAACAATTACCTACCTATCTGATATCACATTGAGAAAAGCTATGAATTATTTCTTTGTTTGACTGTGTCAGTCTACACTTTAGACTAACCTTAACCTTGTCTAGATTTTCATTTAACCTATGTCTGAAATAAATAATAATGACTTATCATTTGGATACACATAAAACATTTCGTGTCTATTTTTAATTATCAATGATAATTTCCTCGAAAATCACATAACATATAAAATGATAATGACCATAATTACTATCCAGCAAAGTGCGATCTGATGTTAAAAAGAATAGATACACAATGGATTTATATACTACTTCAAATAGTTGGCATAAACTCATGTATTAGTTGGATCATCGTTATTCTTACTGAAATATTCCATCATCTCATGGAAAACTAGTAGTGATATACTGGATCAATTAAACTTAGACCAAAATATAAGCGTAATTTACTCATCAAGATCTGGCTCTATCTTCTAGAGAAAGTGATGAACCTCATTGATTGCAAAATGTAACTTTATTTTCTAAAGAGGGGAGATATGTATTCATGAATGAGTGTACATATATTCTAGAAACAGTTTTCCTAGTCAATAAATATTTCTTCTCATTATCGGTTTTCTCAATTAAATAACTAGTTTGACCTCAAGTATAGAAAGCTTGATATTAGTAGCAGACTGGAAAAACCATAAAACAAAACATGTAGATTTGATTATCTAGCATTAGATTTTACATGTTTTAGTAATTCTAAACAATGCCGGCGCAGTGGTTAAGTGCTCGCGCGCGAAATCAGTAGGTCCTGGGTTTGAATCTTGCAGTGGTCGAGGTCGTGGATGCGCACTGCTGAGTATTCCCACAATAGGAAGAAACGGCTGTCCAGTGTTTCCAGGTTCTCCATGGTAGTCTAGCTTCAACTGACTCATGATCTTAACCATCGAAATTAGTTTTTTCAGTGGTTGAGATCATGAGTCATTTGAAAACTTGGAAGAACTGGATGGTTGTTTCATCCTATTGAGGAGTCCCACAATAGGATGAAACAGCTGTCTAGGTTTTCCATGGTAGTCTAGCTTCAATTGACTTATGATGTCAACCATTAAAATTACTATTATATCCACAAAAACCCTTCTGATATAAATTAATTTATCTGATTTTCAAACCAAATAACCTCCATGTGTTGTATGCAACATAGATCATTGAGTCATATATACTACAAATATATATAGAGCTTAACGTACACATTTGAAATGGTGAGAATTTACCGTTTTAGAAACTGGTCAATTTTTTGCTGTGGATGGATTGCTAAAATATCTTAGACATGTCGTGGTCTTTGTATGTTTTCGTTAAGTACTTGAATTCTCTTCTATAATGATACATAGAAAATTAGTTTTATCGTTGTCCATATGACTCGTTTATGATGATAAATGTAATTTGAATTACTTTCTGCAAATGTCATCAAGCAGTTCTGTGTAATTTCATGATGAAAAATAAACTAAGTATCCACTTTCTTGACACAAAGATGACCAAGATGCATTAATTGACACTCACCAATAGGAAAAGAATCGGTGTTTACCATGATTCGTCTCAGAAAATATAAAACCTAAATTCACTGTTTGGGTATATACAGCGGTGGTTGGAGGTAGTCGAGATAAAATTCTGCACTTAGGTTTCGTGCTACTGGCACTCATTATTAGTAAGTGGTACCTGCGATCTTGAGAGGACTGCTGCTTTCTGAAGGGTTCCATCCCATATCATCTAGCTTCACAGTTAGACCTATCCAGAGCGCAACTAAGTTCTTATAGCATTGAGATATATTAACAATTGATTAGTTACTGAGCAGTGACTAATGTCGTTCATCTCAAGTGTTTAATGCCGAAACCTAGATCCAGGATTTCCAATTGATAACCGTCTTCACTCTTCGTTTTTTCTTCAACTAAATACTTAACAAAGAGAATAGAAGTTTGATAAATGATCACTTCAGCTAAATTCCGGTTGTCATTCCATAAAGTCTATTGACCGTAGATTAAAGAGTGGATAAATATACCTATATGCGAATGAACTAATGTATACTTGTTTTTTACCCGCTGTGTTATTTGTAAAAACGTGTAACCTTTTACCTTCTTGCCAACAGGCTTGTATTTCTTGCTGTGTACATTTGTGACATTCGGACAATTCATTCTTCATCTTTGCAGTTACTTAAGTTCCAAATCACTCTTCACAAGATAATTAGAGATAAAAATGCTTGGTTTTACAACGGATGAATAGACAATGTACTTAATGTCAGTTAATTAACCATTGTTAGTGTCAAGTAACTCAAAGCTCCAGATATGCCCACATATTTACGTGACAGAAGTCCATTAGGACAATGTAGCCACTTTATTTCAGTTGACCTAGTCTGGTAGTTTAGGAAGTTACGTATATTTATATATTCTTATATACTCCGGATAGTTTGCTTCATCGTATGACTTTATTTATTTGAACACAAAAATACTGGTACAAGGGGGCACCAGATATATATGCGCCACACAATAACAATGAGAATGGGAAAAGAAAAAGAACATAAGGCGCGTATAAAAGAGAAGAAAAACAATAACGACCACAGGTTTGTGTAAGGTAGTGTAGTAATAGTAATAATAGTAATGGGGGAACCGTAAGGTACAACCAGAAAGAATTCTTTCAGTTAAGGAAATTACAACCACTTT